CGTCTTCTCTTTCTCCCTCCCCCCTCACAACTCCTCTCTCAAAACTCCTGATTTCACTGAAAAGCTACCACCATAGCTTGTGGAATTCAGGGATTATCTACCACTGTTGAATAAATTAAGATAATACCTCTAATGCATTACAGTAAGACACAACTTCTTTTTCCCGCTCTTCTTTCTCCCCCTGCAGACGCTCCAGCTGATTACGTAAGTTACTGTTCATGAGTTCTAATTGTTCTTTACTGTACTGCAGTTCATTCAGCTTTTCTTCAACATTGGCCTAAACAAAAAAGAAAAATCAAGTATGAAATAAGAAGTTTATTGAAAACAATTTGAAAAAAAGCAGGCCCAGGTGAAACAAACAGGTTTGTTAGTAGTAATTACTTTAAATACAAAAATATTATCTTGTAGAAGAGGTGGTATTAAAATCTAGTTATTAAGGCTATTATGTTTTTCTGCAGATATTTTCTTAATAGTAAGCCAATCATAAGGTAGCAATACACACAAAGCACCAAAAAATGAAATGAACAAAAGCACAGAATTTTATTTTCAACTTTATTTCCAACTAATAATTAAGTACTAGTCACATACCTTCACACTTTCTAGTTCAGTGAGTTCTATCTGAAGACTGAGCATTTCTGAAGACATGGTCTCGTGTACACGTTCAGACATCATATGTAGTTCTTCTGATTTGGCAGCAATTATTTCCTTCTGATGATCCACTTTGTGTCTCAGTTGTTTCTCTGAGAGTCGGGTTTCATCTAGTTCTGCTTTCAGATTCTCCAACTTAAAGACAGTTGACAACTAAGTAGTACCATTTTATAATAAATTCTTGAAAAGCACAATACTTTTGACTCTGTTCTAATTACAGAAAATGTCTTAGAAATACAAATTAACAGTTATCTTTTAAAAATAAGCTTTGAAATACAATTTAATTCACAATGTAACTAAGCAGATAGTTGTTAAGAACTAAACAAACACGCTCCTACACATTGTAACTATTTATTAGATTCGTTTTGGTCCTAAGTGTGCAATTATGAGTTAAATACATATTCTTTAAAATGCTATTAGCAACCATTTAGCTGTATATTAGTTGCCAAACCTTGTTTTTAAGGTCACCGATTTCTTGTCCATAGACTCTGGCAAGCTGTTCTTTCTGTTTATCCAGTTGCATGTTTTGCTGTTGCTTAAGGGAATCACATTCAAGACTCAAGCTTTCCAACATTCGATTCTTGAGTTCAATTTCTCTTTGAAGAGAGTATTTCTCTTGTTCAAATTTCTGAAAGAAATAACATACTAATAAATCTAGATGTAATATTCATAAATGCTTGGGGAACAATGGACTAAGTACAGGCTCAGAACTAAGATGCTAAATGCCTAAGACTTGTAGCTCATTCAACCTTTTGTTGAAGTCCCAATTAGGGAACTGTCATACTCATGTTTGAAAAAAAAAAATTGATCTGAAATTTTATGACTTATTTGATGGTGTAATAGTCTCTTCATGAAAACTGTGTATTTCTTTGCACCCAACACAAATCTTTTCATGCATCTTTTCTGCAAGTGTAACAAAAACATTTAGTGAGGGCTTACATGTCCTTTCTATCTCCATAGAACTCAATCACGTTAAAAATTGTTACAATCCATCAAGTGTTCCCCTACTGCAGAACAGCTGGGTTCAACGTGCGTTAAAGACATCTAAATTGTCTACTGTTTTGTAATAAATCCCATCAACCCATCAAATGACTTTTTAATCAGCTTTCCTCTATGCCTGATTGTATGTGTTTGCTAATTATAAAGGGCAGCTTCATTTTACTCCTCCATTCAGCTAGCAATTAAGGAGAAGAAAAAAATAGAAAAGGAGAATCTTGGAAGCAGAAAAGGTAAATACCAAACCCAAGTCAGTCTAAAGATGCAGGATTTTCCTTTTTTAAAAAACCAACAAAACTGTTAAAATACAAGTGAGAATTAAAAAAATACAACAAAACTAAAAACTGTCACGTGGGAAATTGACATCAGGGGTTCAGACAGCAGCTTATCAAGGACAGGCTTAGCTCTCAAATGTACAGGACAAGAGTTTTAACTCAAAGATAAAGACAGTGCACAGAAAAGGTTTGGGAGCACACAGCTGACCAGACCCAAGAAAGGCAGAAATCTGGCATGATATGTCTACACAGACTTTTACGGAAGCATACATAGATTCTTCTAAAAAGACTCCCATGTCTACTGTTAAAATTTACATTGTGTTCACAGTAATTGCTTTGGCTCTCACATTCTAGAGAAGAGAATCACAGATTGAAAAGCTCAAAAGAATCTGTTGGACAACCATAGTTCCCACACAAAAATGTTGTTCTGTGGTATGAAAGCACACAGTTCCTTCTCTCTGCCCTTGGACTCCAAGTTACTAATTAATCTCGTCCACAGAAGCTTAGCTCATAACTTTGCTCCAGCCTATAACATAGGATTACAACCTATGGATGCAGCTTCACAACACAGCAGCTACCATCTCAGGTTATCAGCAGGACAGAATGATCCTGCCCTGCCTTCCTTATCACTTGTGCTTTCCAGCTGCCTCTCTTACACTAAGCTTACTAACAGCAAACTGATCAAAATAAGTTCTCTGGGTTCATTCAGAATAGCAGGGTGCTACAACTCTCCAGCTGGTTAAAAAACAAAACAAAAGCTAAAACAAAACCACAAACATTTTCCCTCTAGCACAAGAGAGGGAATGGACACACAGCCAGAAACAGACTAAATGAAGAGAAATGGTATGACTGAAGCATGGGCTGACTGAAGACAAACCACCACCAAAATCGTTTAGGAAAAGTGGAAGAGATTTTCCTGATTGGAATTTTCTTGCAACATTACTAAGAAAACTGGTTGACTACATAATACCTCTGTATTTCAACACTACACTACTCTCTTTTCTGAGCTGTAAGGCAATGTACTAATAAATTCAGAATCCCTTGGTATTTAGAAAATTTCAAGACTTCACTAAAGAAATCAATTTTACAGTCTTGCTGCTAGCATTCTTTTTACAGCTTTAAGTGATACAAAGCTTGCAGGGAGAGCATAACATGAATGAATTGCTAAACATACCCAAAACACATGTTCTAAACCAAATTTACGTTAGCACTTAGTACTCATTTTACATTAAAGGCAATTAATCTTACACAGTATTGAACATTTGATGCATAATTAGCTATGAAACACCATCCCAATTAGATAAAAATCAGGCTCACTATCTTAGATCAGATATAAAAAGCCCTCTCTACAATTACTTAAACCAAAGTAGTTCATTAATCTAGACTCTAAAAAGCATTTAAAACACCTGTGACATTCAGAAAATAGTTAAACTATAATAAAGTTTTTTATTTTTTTTTTTTTAGTCAAAGTTTAAAACATCACCTCAGTGTTCTCAGTCAATTCACGGCGTGTTTGATCCAACTGATTTTGAACTTCACTTTGGGACTCCAATAAATGCAAGCCATATTGTGCTGCCTTTCTTCGCTCATTCTCTGCTTCCTTCAGTTGGTGTCTAAGACTTAAAATGGTCTCTGTCTCCATTTTTCTTCCTTTTGTTACTTCACCATTGCACAAAAAAAAATTAAAAAAGACATTGGAGTAAGTTATAGTAATTAATCTGAAAGAAGTTATTGGATTTCCTTTCTTAATCAGGATACAAGGATATATTTTTACCTTAATACAAGTCACAAAAAAGATGCTCATGAACAAACAGTCCTGTGAACAGTAAAATTATAGCTATCCCTCCATAAATTTCATTAACATCTTGTTTCAGACTATGTCTTAAGTAATAGCATGCAGTAAAACAACTCCTGTGTACCCAGCCCAGTTAGGAAATAAGCTTGTAAAAACACTTTAATGCCTATGGCTGACAATATTTTGTGTGGTATTATAAAGAAAGCCACACTGACTATAGCATTACTTGTGTACACAAATAACATTTAAGATTCACGTAGGCAGCTGTATTAGCAGGATAGTTTACTCCTAATAACACTATGTGGGATATAGACATAGATAAAGGTAGTTGAAGGAAAGAATAAAAAAATAGAAATCCTGTTAAAATATATGGAATTTTAACACAGGGATTTTTATTTATTTACTTTAAGTCCTTAATAGAGTCTTTAATGACTATCTTCCATTTTAAACTTAAGCTACTGCAGGTAAGCTATTTGTTAATAACCACGTCTTCATCACATGTTTCAGAAAATTCATCCATTTCTATCTTTGTATCACAACAGAAGACACAAGGTGAATTTTTCAAAAAGTTAGTCAAAATAAATCCAAACAAACAAAATATTTAAAAAAATAAAAATCAAGTCAAACTAACACCATAAGGTTGTATGACTGCTTGCTCCCAAATCTACTAAATCAGCAGAGCACAAAAATCCTATTAAGACAGAAATTGCTAAGCAACTCAGGCTTCTAAACAACAAAAGCCAAGAATTCTCTCAGAAAGTATACAGTAACAATGATATAGAAATAAAAAAAAATCTGCAGTTGATTTTTTCAAAGCCAGTGTTCATATTTTTAATATAATTTCAAGATTAAAGCAATTCTTGATTGAAGATCTTACTCCATGCTTTTTCTTTTTACATAAGTAATTTAGTTGTTGCTATTTCTTACGGGTATATATATATTACCCTGATGAATGTTAGCAAAATGCTGGTCTTAACAGCAAATTTCGCAGCTCAACACAGAAGAAGTTATTTTTAAGAGTCATTATTGTAATGTAATGCCTTTTTTTTTCTTCTAACTTTTATTCAACATGGGTAACTCCCAGTGGAGTCACCCGGCTTCTGATAAAAGAAAAAAAATGTAACCTGCAAAAGTACATCATGCAAAACAACATGCTAATTCCTTTCAGAGGTACAAGATGGAAATTATCAAGTTCTGTTTTCCACTTCTCCATCACTTAGCATTATTCAAGTTTAACACATGCAAAGATAATTTATCCAGTCAGGCTCTGAAACTTCAGTTTTTCAGATCTAACTATTGCAATGCTTGAAATACTAGTTTTGCATGCTATGCTAAAATAAGCCAGTGCAAGAGAGGAATTTCGCATACCTATAGCTAAGAATCACCAATATTATTATTAGTGCAAGGACACATACACTGTGTACAATTTAGTAATGCAGTGTTTAACAGTACAATGTAGCAATACAAACATATAGGCAACTTCTGGCTTTTTTTACATTAGTAAAGAAGATGAAATAATCCTTATTCACTTCATAAATTTTAAAAGGATTTTAAAAATAACTTTATTTTCTGATCAAACAACACTATAGAGGCAACACAGCAATTTGATTGCTCCTAGCTTACTAAGTTAAATTTGACTAGCGTTTTTCACTTACCTTCAGAAGCCCATTCAAGGCTTTCTTGACCTTATTCTCATACTCCACCTTTAAAAGAAAAAAAAATAATAAAAGTAACAGTTGTCCAGTCCAGATGAGTATAAGCTGCCCTTATAGCAGTCCTATTCTGAAAAGCCTTAATGCCTGTGGCTGTCTCATGAAAATGCAGATCACAAACTAAAATCCCATAGAAATGCAAATCTTATTCAAATCTCAGTTGAGGCAGCTGTCAAAGAGTTTAGAAACAGCCAGATCAGGCAATGTTGCCAAAGGATAGATGGTCTGCAATTGGCCTGAGACACAAGTAAATAGGCTACACCCAGGGTCACCTTCTGGCACACACATCATTTTTAAGGGTTGTTTGGGGATTTTGTCTTGTTCCCTCCTACTTCTCCAATCTCCTTTGCATGCTCTCCACCAGTTCCACATACAAGACCTTTGAGGTCTTAATAAATCCTTTACTGGATAATATAATCTACAAGACCTTCGGGTTTTCTTTATTTTTATAGTTGAAGTATGGAGGAAGAGAGAAATAGTTTTCGTATTCACACGTTCCTTGCCGACAATTAGGGAAAACAGCAAGTATGCCTTTCAGAGCAGAGACATCCTCAATTTTCCATTGTCAATTTTGGATGAAGCTGTATTGCTATACAAGGAAATAATTGCCTGTAATTTAGTGTTATACACGAGGTTAAGTAAACTACCCTGAAAATAATGTTCTAGCCTAAGTAGGTAGTAAGGCGAACAGGCAGGAGGTAAAAATAAATGCATAGAGGCAACGACTCACAGACGGGTTTGATTTTCTGCAGGAAAACGGCCCTTGACCGTATGAGAGCCCTGACAGGGGGCGAGGCAGAGGACACACGCCTGACACCCCCACCCCCCGTCACCTGACGCACCATCTCCGCGGGCCGCCGGAGAGAAAACAGCCTTTCTCGCTGGAGGCAACGGGAACACGCTGGCAGCGCGGCCCCGGCGAGGGGAAGGACCTGAAGGCCACGAGTCCCCGAGGCAGACCCCGAGGCAACGGCACGAAAGGAGTAGAGGGAGCCAGGAGCTCCTCTCCACCCCCC